ATTGCAGTAATGGAAATCTGAGATGTAGTTACTGGCCAAAGGCCAGCAGAGACATTGGTCAGTTGGATGTGTTTCTTCCCTCCCAGCTGCAAAAGAGTTTCAGCAAAGGAAAACAAAATTAAATGTGCCATAATGATTGGAAAAAATGAAAATGTTACCACATTGCAGCAAAAGGAATAAGGCATGGAAGTGCTTCTGAAGAGCTATTGTAAACACAGTGCTTCCACTCTCCTTGCTTCCCATCACTGACTGATACACAATTCAGAACGTGACCCCTAATCTAGGGTGTTCCCACAGCTGGCACTTTGTGTTACTTTAGCTTAGAAAGGAGCAGTAAATATCCAGAAGAAAGAAAACCCCAGCATAAAAGTCTCCTCACCTATCCTCCCCTGCAATTAATTGTGATGCAAATATTAATTTTCTTTTACTAATTCATAAAGAAAACCCTTGAATCTGAAAGTTCTGAATGGATTTTCAAGAAATTAAATTGCCTCACCATGGTGTAACTCTCTATTCCATTTCTAACTTGCTCTTAAAGCAAAGAAAGAATGGGAAAAACAATTGTTGTAATCAATGTCTGCAGAAATGTTCACTTGTCCCATGTGCCTGGTGATGTTTTGTTAAAAAATCATACAATTAGGAGCCTAGAAGATGTAGAAAAATGCATTTTGAGCTTTTGCACAGTTTTCATGGTATATCCAACTCTCTCTACATGTTATTAGCAGGTTTTTTCAGTGCATGCTATTAACCCAGTTGACTTCTTTCTGGTATCTGACATATAAAACTGCACTTAGCAATACAGCAGAATAATTTGCTATGTGGTGCTTCTGTGATAAGGATAAGAGGATTTTTTTATCATCATTACGGATGGTAATAATTCCTAGAGTGATACAGAGATATTGATCCACTGATCTAAAAAAAATCACTTACCAAAGGCAGAGGAGCATTGCTACCCTTATTTTAATCAACAGGATAACAGAGGTGATGAGCAGCCAACTCACCAATGGTCAATACAGCACATCAGTGGCACAGCTACACAGCTGCAAATCTAACTTGGGTATTTCTGGCTATTTTTACACACTCCAGCTCTTATTGCCTTGCTGGCTGTGTTGGCATCTGTGGTCATGTAGACATTACATAGTGCTGGGAGTCAGGAGGTCTGAAAGTTTCCTTAAGCCGTTTACAATAAGTGATTTAAAAATCTTAATCATCTGAGGCAGTTCACTTCTACTTTTTTGATGATAATGAAGCTTAGCACATGATATCACAATCATGAATTTTTGTAAAGCATACTTAGGTCGTCAGAAAAAGTGATGGATTAAACAACCCTGCAGGCTGAATCTTTCTCTCTGAATAATGAATATCGTACAGGCAGTGGCAAGCTTCTTTAGATAGTCCCATGTACCCTGCTCAAGAGGCGGCCAGCCTCTGTGGCTGCTGGGTCCCTGGATTCTTTATCTCTACAGCCAACAGAGTATTTTTATTTTTTAATACCTTTCACAGCTAGGAATTACTCGCTGCTAGACATCTAATTTCACAGGGACTATCCCAGAGCCTTTGGAAGGTGATGCCTTTTGGCTGCTGCCTCTTCTTGCTGCTGATCGAAATATACCAAGTTACAGGTATAAACAATGGTTGTTTCTTAGATGCAGGAATGAGTAACAATGGGGGAAAACATGACTCAAGCTAAAAAACAAAATCTCAGTTTCCTTAAAATACACTGCTCCACCACTGGAGCTCTGTATCATTACTTTAGTCTCATTTTAGAGCTGAGTTTCAAACAACTGACAATAGGAATTTGGAGTGGAAGAGGTGATGGTCCATTACCAGTGGTGACAGCAATGGGTGTGACTTTAGTAAAGTTCTGTCAACTCTTAGTTAGGAACTGCAATAGAAACAGCAAGTTCCATCTCTCTCCCCCTCTCCCTTTATCTCAGCACTTATATCACACTCATCACAAAGTGTTACCTTTTCCCTTGATGTCACAGGAGGAGATTCCTCCTTGCTACTGGAGCCCATGTGGTACAATACAACCCTAAATCCTGCTATGAGTTGACAGCGGACTGTTACCCTCCCAGTGGTAAAGTTGCTGGTGTAGTATAGACATGGCCTAAAATCAAAGTCGACTGAAACCTTTTTAGTCTTTACTAAGTAAAAAAACCCAAACCCAAACCCAGTCCAAACCAAAACTGTTCTACTGAGCAGTGTAACCTGGAGCTATTCCTTGCAACTATCTGCTGGTAATACAGATTATTTGCCTGAACCCTTTAAGAAAGCTCGAAAGCTGGCATAAATACCAAAGAAGATACTGTTCAAGCTTTTTTCATCTGAGATACCATGAGGGGTACTTGTTATGCAATTGAAAAGGGATACCAAACAGAGTTTACTGGACCACATTTCCATCTCACTGCTGTGAGCACTGAACTGAGCTCCCAAAGGCTCTGGCATGGTCAGTGTTTTCCTCAGACACTGACTATTTTTCATTCACCCCTCTGTGTTTAGGAGGGAAGCACATCTGGACGGGTACTGAGAAAAAAAATAATGTTTGTGGCAAAGGGAATTAACATCTTGGAAATGGTAACATGAATTAAAACTGATTAAGGATTGGAACTCTTTACAAAGATGTAACAGTATAAATTCTCCCTCCAGAAACAGTTTTTCACCTTGTGCTTTTTCAGTCAAGCTCCCTCCTCTGCAGATGTCCCTCAGCACTTTTCATTTCAACTGCAATACCAACCATTTTCCCAACACTTTGCCTTCTCTCATGGAATGGTGGTTTTGTGAAGCTGATAAAAATCTGCCTGAAAACCTGGTTGGCGCAGCTGAACCCATTTTGAAGTGTGAACATGGGTGTGTAGAAAGCAATTCAAGTTTAACAAGGCATGAGGCATGAGGGCATGATAGAATATCAGTCGTGATTGTGACCGAAATGAACCCAAGTGGCACAGAGGATGCAGCTCTGCTGTGGTTACTGGTGTGTGACCTACCTGGACTGAGATCTTCTGTCTCCAGCAGGAGAAAACAGCACATTAACTCTACAGCTGTGCTGGCCAGCACAAAACACTGCCCTGCCTGATACACTGGAGATGTGGCTTGGGAATCTCAGCTCCTGATTGTCGTGAGATTGCTGTTCGCAGCAGAACAAAACTACCCCACCAATCTCACTTACTCTGTTGGATTTCATAATTAGCTTTTCTATGCTCCTACTATACCCAGTCTGTTGAATTAAAGCAAGTGTGCAGGGGGATTTTTATGGATGCCAGGAAAGATCCATTTCTTTGTTGGGTGATGCTGACAAGTCAATTAAATCTTTTTTGGGGGCTCAAAACATCTGATGTGCAGATCTTGTTATTTCAGCAGTTAATTAGCTCCTTTCCCACTTGTGTCTTCCATCATCCCTTCCTTGTGCTGCTCACACAATGAAATCAGTGAAAATCAGAAATACTTATTTTGCCTCAGTGTTGGGTCTAGAAAGATAATGGCAGCACTCAACTCTATCAGTAAACATTCCTTACTGAGCTGAAGGAGCCAACTTTAGACCTGTGCCCTAATCTTCCCCAAGGCAAAAGCCATCATCATCATGAGGCTCTCATTGCCTGAAGGGACTGCTGCATCCCCAGCCCCAAAAATTTGGGGATCACAAAGCATAAATCTACTGGCATAATTTTCTTTGGGCTCCCTATTTATAGTCAGAGCGTCTTTTCAAAAAGTCCTTATTGTTCAGAAGTAGTACGTGCTTTCAAGCAGTGCCATGATATATAGGAATACCTGCATGTCCTTTGCTGAAATTTATAGGTGTTATATAGAAACTGGACCACCCACAAAACAAAAAAATCCCATGCACAAATTGTTGCACAAAATTTGTGGATGCTATTGCCTACAAGAAACAAGTAGATCCAAGAGTAAAGAAAAGAAAATCCAAATCTATACCCACATCTATGCAAAGTGGGTGCTATTACCTTTTTCTGTGCGTTTTGAAAATGTAATAAAATGCATAAACTGTGTACTTTCTATGTATTTGTTTCTCTATAGATGTGATATTTTTCACAGCTCCACAATTAAAATTATTTTACTCCCTGTGCCATTAAATGGCTGTGGCAGGTACAACAGCATAATCCTGCACTGAGAGATGGGACTATTTCCTATTCCCTATTCCCTATTTCCTTTTCCATTCACCAAGTCCTGGCACTGATGTTTTGAGACGGTTCATGCTCTGAGAATAAATTCAGGTCCATATACCATGGAATTAATATGCAGTCTGTGTCATCAATATACATTTATTTTTGTTTTCAATTGCTTTTCAGAAGGCCTTTCCCTAAAAGCTACGTTTGCACTCAAAAGGGATCACTGGCTATTGAAATCTGTGCAGCATTTAATTTCCAAGTTCAGGATGGCCACTTGACCACTCTTGATGGTGATGCTTAACACCTCTGCCCTGGATTTTGGGATGTGGTAGAGGCACAAGATTTAAAACTCTTTTTATAAACTTTAGTCCAGGCAAAGCTCTCAGGTAACCTCTTTGTTTCTCAGTTACAGCAGACCTATGTTTTGCATATAGTTAAAGAAAACACAGGAATGGAGGAGATTCCTACAGGGGCCAGTTCCCATCACCCCTCATGCCTTCAAGCAGTCATTTACAGTCCTGTCCTTTTATTTATTTATTGGCCTTGTGCTACAAAGCAGAAATGGGGTCAGGGGAGCAACTTTGATTTTGTGAGAGCAGAAAACTGAGGGTGTTTTCTCAGGGTGCAAAGGAACCTTTCCAGCTGACAAACAGGGTGATAACACAAGTTAATATGTTGGCACCGAGACCTTTCTGACACTGGAAATAAAAGGTGATAATTTCAGTCACTGTGAAAAGTTCATGTGGATGCCTTCATCACGTGGGACGTATTACAGCGTAACCTCTCGCTGCAGACAGTAGCTCTGCCTACCTTGGCTGTGACATAAAGCTCCCAATTAGCACTTAAGGAAAGAGACTTTACAGACTGCACACTCACCTCGGCTCAGCCCATCTGGTCCCCGAAGGATTCGGCATTCTTCTATCTGGCCGAACGGAGAAAACATCACCCTGATATCATTCTCATTACACTTCTTCGAAACCATTCCTATGAACAATTTTCTGTCTTCCACAGCTAGAAGATAAAAATAATGAATGAGCAAAGGCCATTTCATCTTTTTCCTGTGATCAATGCTTCATTACCACATCAAACCAAGCTCCAGTCATGTGAGTCTGGCTCTGTAACTGAAGACAAGTCCTAAGGCAAACACTTTATACTTACAACCTCCCTTCCCCCCTTTCTCTCCCACCCTAAATATCTACTTTTTTTTTCCCACTCTCTCTCTCCTTTTTCTAGTGGCGCTTGCTGTTTATATAACATTAATTGGCTGTCTTAGTCACTCTGCATACACCTCCCCTTCACAGCTTCTAAAAGGAAAGTATCCTGTGTTAGAGACGCTTTTAAAGATATCGTTTGCATAGGTTCTAATTCAGATAAATTCCCTCAACCCCCTTGTATGTGAAAGACATCATGATGGGGTGAGGGTGAAGAAGAGATTGTGCACGTAATGATACAAGCTAATGAAAAATATTCCTGAGAAATGTTTTGAGAGCAGCTCCTGTCTGAGCTTTCAATTTCAGCCAACTTAATGCATGGCACTGAAAAGGCAGATATGCAATGACTGCTCTGGAGAAAGAATGCATTAAATTTTTCTTCTTTTTTTTTTTTTTTTTTTTTTCAGTGTCACAGCCCTCTTCCCTTCAGGAAGACACAAGACATATTTTAGGACATCACTTGAACACCCTTTGATGCGTAATGATGCTGAGTTTGCAAAAAAAAAACCCACGGAAAATGTGTTTTACCTGAATATTTGGTAGAATATTTCCTGCTTGAACTGTCACCAACACAAGCTGGACTGCTGCAGCAGGATGCACACAGTCCTAAATCAAACTCAAAGCTGGGGACTCTTGTCAAAAATGAAAGAGGTCATCAAAACTTAATGCACTCTGGAAAAACTTAAAAATGTTAATGCACCCACCCATCTATATTAAACCAAAAATCTAAGTGCTTATTATACAGTACATACACCAGTGCTTTCTTCTTCTCTGGAAATGGCATGTAAATCCAATTCCCTGTTAATGAGCAGACTGTCAGGGTTTGTGGGGAAGCAAAGAGGGAAGGAAAGCTTTTCTCCAGAGAGTCTGCACTGCACTTACTTATTTCTATTATTGTGCAAATTATTTTTGTAATGAAGTATTTTCATTTCTGGGCTTACAAAAAAAAATAATGAATCCTCCCTTGCTCTCTAACTCTGTCTCCTGTATTAGAACGAGTTTGTCACAGGGAAAAAATTGCAGCCGAAGAAGAAGGAACTGTGTCCATTTTTTCTACGATTTTATTTGTGTTATACATCAACACTTTCAGTGCATTTAATAATTTCAAGAATAACAAGACGAGGTTCATGTTTATTGATCACAAGAAGCGTTTGAAGTAATTTTCTCCTTAAATCGCTGACTTTAAAAAGTATTTGTAGCTTTTATACAAGCAAGCACCAAACCCATGCATTTTTCAGAACCCAAAACAGTGGCCAGCCCCTGCAATTCCAACTTCTCACTCTACAAGCTTGCAAGAAAATTGGTGTGAATTTAACACCCAGGGGAAGATGTTTTCTTCAGCAGAGATTCCTCAAGACTGAACATTTTCATTCACACTTTATATTGCGGTTCCACATGCAGGTGAACCCTCCAGAAAGGGTTAAGAAATGATGAATGCATGGGATGAGACAGTTATATACAGATCAGGAGCTGAATATGCGTGATTGCAAATAAGACCTGCAAGTTGAGATATTTATGTATACATAAATATATATATATATATATGTCTTATTATGAAACTTTACATCTGATTCATAATATATAGCTGACCTTGATGCTGCTAATTATTATTTTAAGGGTGGAAAAGCTGAATTGCCTGGCTCACAGCTACAAGAGGAGTGCAGGCAGCCACTTCTGCTGGTGGAAGGATGCCTGTAACCTGGCTGCAGACAATTCCTATATTGCCATGAGCAACCTTTTTGAGGAAGTCCCCTGACCAGCCTGTCCTCTCGACAACAGCTACAGACTATGGCCATAGTGCAGGACAGTTTTTGAGAAAGGCACCCCGCTGGGCTGCCAGGTCTGGATTTCTCCACACCACAGACTCAGGCTGGGTGAAGCCTTGGTGCCAAGAACATTTTCAAGCATTGTTTTCTGCTCTGTATTATGAACCTCTTATTTAGTGTCTCTGTGTCAGCTAGCACCAGCCAGTTTAAATTTGGGTTGATCTTAGGCTTGAAATAGTGTGCAGGTCTACCCTAAGGTAGGGGTAGAATAGGTCCAGCCCTTTAAAAATAGCTACTTGCTGAGTTGGACAAATGCCTGCCATAGCATCCCAGAGGAGGTTCCTTGGGTCCTGCTTTGGTGCCAGGACAAAGCCTCAAACCAAAAAGATTCACATGGAGACTCAAAAGAAATGAGATGTGAACAGAAGGCTTTGTTTTAATTTTCCAAAGAGTAGCAGGTGACAAACTCCCCATCGGCCTCCTTCGGTTTTGAGAGTAAACCTATAAATATGCCATTTAACTAACATGATTTGCAGGTTTGCAGCTTGAGGGTGATTTTATAGTAAATTAAACATCCAGCTCCTGTGTACTGTACATCTAAAAAATGCAGATTTCATGAAGAATGCTCAGAGTACAGAAAACATATTGATATGATGATGTGCTCTGCATTCAGCATCATTAGTCAGTGCTGATCAGTGTTGAAGCTTAAGAAAATTGGTATTCTTTTTCTGGCTAGGGGCCCAGCATAAAAAACATTTAAAGTGACAATTGTCAAGATCAAAATGACATGTTTTCACTCCATCTGATAGAACATCTGATATTATTAGGCTGAAAGAGTTTTTAACAATATATTCCCACACAGAGAAAGGAATACTTTTCCACCTCGATAAGAATGATTTTCAGGAGTTATTTCTGCATTTTTGGTCAGCCACTTCTTTCTTTCTAAAATGAATTCTTACCAGCCACACAGGCAAGGTTTGAGAATCAGATAACAGAGTGCAAGAAGTGTGGGTGAAACGTATTTAGAGGTTAGCAAACTTCCCTCTGGATCTGCCAAGCCTGCAGATTTCCCTGTGTGTGCTGGATTTCTCCCATGGGCTGTAAAATGAGGAGCCTAGCATTAAACACACATGAGCCAGCAAAGCACTGAGGCTGGGATGGGTGCTGCTGCTTAGGGAAAGGATGGCAGCCTAAACCCATCTGGCCTAACTTCAGTGGCCTACAGGTTTGGTCTTAGCTCAACTGGCTGTTGGCAATGCCAAGAGATTGGCTCCTTCAAAGAGTGACACATATCACCTCTCCCAGCCAAGTGGGATGGCCTTTGTCATGGGAGTCTCTCCCCTGCTACTGACAGTAGATTACAGATTTTTTTACATTGACTGAGTAGATTGACAGATGCTGTTACCTTCCAGCCAACTCCCAGATCCTGGGCATCATGATAACATCTATATGTCCTGAGCTCCAGCTGCAGGGACAGGAGGAATAAATGAGCTCTGCGGGACTGGACAAAGGTTGGGAGCTGCAAATGCTTTGGGCAATGAGAGCAGGCAAAGAAGGCTGGAGGAAGGATAACAAACAGTGTGCAAGGGCTATCACCTGTGTGCACGTATCTCAAAAGCATTTCACTGCTGCTTGATAACTCTCTCTCCCACCCTTGGGGGAGGTTTCAACAATTCAAAATCCAGAAAAATCAAAACTTTTTTAGCATGTGTTTGACATCATTATTTCTGCACCTTGTTCATGGGCTTAGTTGAACTTTCTGACTATTTTACACTACTTTAGGGGAATGAAGTAGATACAACTGTTTGGAAGCAGCACTTAGGATGGGGGGGCTGAGTGCCCCTCCTTGATGGAGAAGAAGCAGCCAGAAGGTCACAGTAAACAAGGCCTGAAGTTCTATTTATAGGAAGGAAAGTGTGAAACCTCACAGTTTCTTGATTAACACATTATAGGGTTCACCTTTAATCCATCCCAACACATTACAAACACAGGTTGGCTGTGCTGCCAGGGCAGCTCGAGTGACACATCCAGTGCTAAGCCTGCTGGATTTGGGGTGGGGTTTGCCAGAATGCAGGAACACTGCATGGAGAGTTACAGACATCTGTTTTAAAATGAGGTGAGTTGCTCTTGTAACCCTGTGAAGGCTAGCATTGCCATCACCAGCATGCATGCCTGGGCATCGTGTTTGAACCCACAACTCTGCCTTAGCCATCAAGGGTTATCTGAGATGAAGTCTTTCTCTGCTGGGGGGGGAAACTTTTCAAACTGAGCCTCCTGTCTTCTGAGAGCACTACATCCAGCGTGCAGAATAACATCCTGAAGGGTCTAATTTTTTAGCTTTACTCTATTTGCTTCAGTAATGAGCATTTCTTTCAGGCTGTATTAGATTGCTTGCACTAACCCAGGAGGATAAAGGAGTAGAGATTATTTTCTGAATGCTACAAAAGAATTAAACCCTGTAATAATTGTGGGAAATCTCCCTGAAGATTCAACATAACTTTTCATTCTTCTAAACCCCCAAAATTCTGAAAGATCAAAATTATAACCCTTTATTGTACATTTCTGAGGAGTCCAGCCAGAAAGAGTGCATTCTCTTCCCAGAAGATGCTTTCTTTTTTGAGCAAATAGATAAATAGTTAATTTTGTATAAATGGTGTGGAGAGTTTTTTGTTTTGGTTTTTTTACTCCCACATAGAAGGGAAGAGGTGAAATCAGACTTTTTATCCCTAGCTGTAAGCCTGTGAAAACCCCTTGCATACAATCTGTCAAAGTCACACCTGAATCCGGAGCTGCCTGCATTAATTATCAAGTTTTCTATGTGTTAGTGCTAACATATGGCATCTAATTACTACCTCCAAATCGGAAAAGTTGTGCTACTTAGAATTTCAAAATTAATTTTTTTAATTTTCCACTAATAAAATCAATGAAAATAAATTGTAAGATTACTCAGCTACCCTCCTCCCTACTTTAATTTTTTTAAATAGAGAATTTTGTCATTTTCCCTGAGCAGTGATGTTTTGATCCATTTAAGAACATACTGTCTGCAGGATATGTGCCTGAAAGTACTGACTGTGCTCAAATGCAGATCCAAGACATTCAAGCATTTGCAAATTGTGGGATGTTAATTGCCAGAGACAACTTAGAGTCAAGCAGGTGTGTGTAAGTTCTTCAGCATTAGACTGGAGGAACCCCCTTTGTTTGAATAAGGGAAAATGTCCTTAAAAGGATAAATACTGTGAGTGATGAATCTAGTAATGGCGGAGCCTTCAAAGTTGAAACATGCTTTTTTGGCAGAAAATCCTTAACCAAAACTTTCTAGACAGGTTAAAACAACCTGCAGAAACGTGATCAGACCAGGACACACCACAAAATTCATGATCTGCAAAACTTCAAGAGATGTTATGTTTTTCAACAGAACTTTTCAGAATCCCCTTGGGTAGACAAATTAATTAAATCTGAGGGCAACTCTTGCCCCATCAATTCTAGGTGCTAAAAGCTTGGTGGAAGAGATCAAGATTTGCTTCATCTGCATGACCAGAGAAACGACTTAGACACATTGTAGGCAGGGAAGGAACCACTGGAACAGACTTCCCAGAGGAGCTGTGGATGCCCCAGCCCTGGAAATGTTCATGGCCAGGAGATGCTCTGAGCAACCTGGTCCAGGTGTGCTGGAGGTGTCCTTTCCATACCCATCTCCCAGTTTCCATGGGGTGAGCTTGGTGTCAAGGGACAAGATTCCTCAGGTGATGCAGACATCTAAGAGCAGGAACAGTGATGGAAAAGGAGGAGCATTTCATCCTGGTAGTCTCTGGCTTGGATGCTCATTCAAAGCTTTTTCACAAGGGATTCAATATGGGGGGCAGGCATTTAATCACACAGCAAATATCGTTCTTTGAAAACTTCTGTAAGTTGATTGAGAGTACCATTCCTTCCTCCTGATGGAACTTGAACAGGTCTATCAATCCTTCATAAACATGTACAAGCTCAGAAGAATTGTACAGTATTCAACTTGTCCTACACATATTTTCACAACAAATTTTTGACGAAGAAAATTTCTTTAACATGTTTGCAAACTGAGAAACACCACTCTACCCATAAAATTCACCAGTATCCTCCCATGACTCAGAAATCAAAGAGATTTGAGTATTTCTCAAAAGCTCAACCACCACGGATCATGAAAACCAAGATGCCTTGGCATGTCTTTTTTCTTTTCCCTTTTGAACTTGCCAATCTGCTTGAAGAGGTACAGTTTACAGTTTACAGTTGGCATGGATAATAAGTTTCCTCAGATGGATAGCCTGGAGCATACAGGAAACATGTGCCAAACAAACCTCCACATCCCCCATGCTGCTGTTTTTTCCCTTTCTTGGTCTCCACGCTGCTCACAAACTGTCACCCATTCCATGAACCCCATGCCTACACCCTGCCTTTCTGAGGGGCTGTACCATTATTACCGTCATTGTGGTATTAGTTTGCCTCCTATTTTTCCAGTCGATTAAAAAAAAAAAAAAAAGTTCACCACCCCTTGAACATGCCTATCAAAAGTTCCCACACCCTTCAGGAGTCTAAATTTAAAAAGGTGTTTAATTTGACAGTTGGAACCCTGAAAATGACAATTTGTTTTTCCCCAAAAATACAAAGAAAGGCAAGGAAAAAAGAAAAAAAATGAAAAAACCCTTGTGATTTTTTATACTTTGAGTAGATGCCAGAAAATAAGAGAGTAATCCCACAGTGCAGACAGGAGTTTCATGCAGATAACCCCAGACTAACAGCAGCAGCCAGGAGCCAACCTACCCTGCTTTCCAAGCAGGCGCTACTTGCAGAGAGACAGAATTTGCACAATTCCCCACAGTGTTTTTTCCAATATGTTCAATCTCCTTCAGAAACACTTCAGGCAATGAACAAGTAACTCACTGGGAGTCAATTCTGACCCATTGACTCTTATTTTTCTAATTTGCCAAGGAAATTGAGGTGAAATTTGTCTTTAAAAGAAGAACTCATGGAGGCCATTCTTAGTTTAGAGAGCTCAGGCCAGCGTTCCTGTGCCTAAAGGATAATTGTGCCCGCTGCTAGCACTAAATACTAGGGACTGGAGCTTGGATTCCAACAACAATGTTCTCCTTGACTGCAGTGAGGCCTGAAAAGTTCAGTCCTTCTGCCCATCCAGGTGCCTTGGCCTCTATTCTGAGCACTCAAAGACAGCAAGAAATCACTGCTAAAAAATCTTTGGGAAAATGTTCTTCACCCAGAGGGTGGCTGGGCACTGGAACAGGCTCCCCAGAGCAGTGGTCACAGCACCAGACTGACAGAGGTCAAGGAGCATTTTGACAATGCTCTTAAGAACATGGTGGGACTTTTGGGATTGCCCTGTGCAGGGCCAGGAATTAGACTTACAGAATCCTCATGGATGGATATCCATCCTTTCCAGCTCAAAATATTCAACGATTCTATGATTCCAATCTGACAGAGAACAACCCCTCCCACAAATGGGTGGGGGCTCATATTTCCTGTGCTCTTGGCCACTTTTGTTTGGAAAGTTATCATAATGGGAAACCTAGCATAATGTGAAGTTTTAATTTCCTTCCAAACTTCATAATCCTTGGAGAAGCCTGAAAAAGGGATGCACTACAATTAGCAAAAAAAGAACCCTTAAAAAAGCCTTGCGGAGAGATTTAGAGCCCAATCATAATTTACATTTGCAGGTATGTAGATCTCTAAGTGCACGGCTTCTGCCCTGATTACTAATTAATGAGGTGCAAAGATGCCTGTTGGAGGAACCAGCTCTGATTATGTGGGCCTTAAGGGAAAATGAAGCTCTTGCAATCTAAGAAGGCAGATGATATCTTTAACATATATTTTAGAAAATTACAGGAACAAATCAAGGGGCAAAATAGACACGTATATATTTTTAAAGAATCACACGCTGCCAAGTTGCACTACCATTCGATTATCTTATTTCCCTGAATATATAAACCTAGCATGTTTAATAGATTTAGCTTACCATCTATTTTGCATGTCATATACATCACTTAGGCAGTACCCTAGTATTCCAAATGGATATTACTGTCTTTATGGCATTCATTTTTCAATCGTTTTGAGGAATAAGTATACAGAGAGCTCCAAAGTGGGCTTCCCAGCTCATAATGAAGCATATGATTAAAACCTAAATTTGGCTCAGACACAGAATGGCATCCTTCTGTAAACAGGTAGTTTTGGCAAATGTTTAAGGCCAATCATGTACTTACATAGCGTGTTAACACAAGTATGCCTTTTTGTTTCTCTTATTTTCAATTTCCAGCATTAACATTTTATCTCCATCTTATCAGTCTCAGGTGCTCCCACATTACCTCTGTTAGGAGAACCCAAAGGAAGGATGTATGCAGTGAGATAGGTCAGGACATACAGCAGTTACAAGGAGGACCCTTTCTGAGGACATTTCCTTCCTTCTTTAAAACAGAAGACAAAAGGGAGTTCAGAGCAGCCCAGCACCTTCCCAACATGTCATGTGTAGGGAAACTGCTTATTATATTCACCACAAAAGGAGTAAAGCAAAAACTCTTACAGTGTTTGGCTAACTTTAGTTTAGAGAAAGATGCAATTAAGTAAGAATAAATTAACACATACCATTTGACTTTTCACTGTCTGCGGGTTTCATCTGAATAGGATGATGCATCTAAAAACAAAAATGAAAGAGAGTAAGGCAGGTTGGACAGTCATAGGAAATCAAGAGTGATGTTTTTAATGATGGGCTAAAAAGAGACACGTTTTAATATTAAACATGTTGAAATTATGTAAGTTCAAAATAACACTGTATTATAGGCTTATAGGAAAGAATAAAATGGTAAAGGAGTATTTTATAATGAGGAAGTTTAAAAAAAAATCATTGGGCCCATAGGACTCATATAAATCTTTAATTTGCTGTATCTAGTTTCAGAAGACCTCTAAAGTTACAGCTCTCATTAGTTTATGGCATGCTTGGTTTCTGTTTTACCAACTTTTTTTTTATCTTGAGTTCAACCACTGCCAAAACCAAGATGTAATTTTCAAGTAATTTAAGAACTAGCAAGCATTTCAAACATACTCAGAGGAGTTGAGTTTGACAAATGAACTTTGCTTGTAATTAAAAAACTGTGCTGATTCTTTCAGGACTGAAGAAGAAGAGAATTTGATTCCTAAAACAGGTTCCTATAATTGTTTAGTATCTCATCTTCTTGTTTTAGAATACATTACACATTCATTCATAAAGCTTCAACCACAATGGAATGTTACACCACGTGTAACAGTTCTGGTTTCCATAAAAACTCCAAATCCTGTTTCCTTTTCAACCTCTTCCTCCATTCATGTCCCTCTTACTGCAAAGGAAACCAACCCTTGTATGCAGCATTCTGTGCTGAACATCCCATCTTAGCACACTCTGGTGTGTCCTCAGCTTTCTCTACTCAACGATACTGCTCCCATGCTGAATTGTTGACAGCTGCAATAAAATTTCTACAAATGGTGTTTTTGTTCTTTCAGGAATTATAATACCACAGCAGTTGAGCTCCTCATGATCAGAGTTTTCCACAGGACATTGGTGATATCCAGCCCTGTGGTCGCTGTGGTGTGTTAAGGGAAATTTTATTACAGCTCCTCAAAAGCTTCCAGAACTGACCTCACATTGAGATTCAGCATGGGAGATGTTTAAGCTTGCAAAAGAAAACCCCATTTTTATTTTCTTTCTTGGGCTCTACACAGTTACTGGGATTTGACTGCACAAACCTTCCAGCAGCAGCAGGGCCACTGCCTTTTCTCTCCTCAGTAATTCTTTACCAATTCACGTGAACAGGTGAAAAAATGTATGCTCTTTTTACTTTTGTATCATTTTTCAGTGCAGCGCAGCTGCGTATTGCCTGAAAATGTCAGAGGCAATTCCATTTTTTTAATAAAAGACTGTTATGACAAACTCTGGGAAACAGCTGAGCAGGGGAGAACATCCATGCCCTCATATCAAGCATGCTTTCAAAGCTCAGAAACCCACATCTGCATTGCTTTTGGTGAAGTAACTTAACCACCAGGGAAAAAGTTGCTGGATTCTTTAGAAAATATAAAATATTGCTGTGAATATTTCTCTTAGATTTACTCAAAGTCCAGAATGTTCCCTGGCCTTGCAAATCAATGTCTTTCCTGTGCTGCTTGCACAACTCCCCACTGCATCCTAGGGAAAGGCAAAGCCACAAGGTAGATGTGGTTGTCGGGATGCATAAATTTTCTTCAGTTTTAACAATTCTGCTCTCTTTGAATCATTTGTTTCCTAAATGGACTTTAATACCCAGCATTTGTCTGCCACCACTCTTATTAGATCAGTTTTATAGAAAAAAGGGAACTTCGATAGTTCTGTCTCCTTTATTGCTTAAGATTTGTCCTGACATCAACAATACACTGGATACTACAGGAGACTTAAAATTCATGGGAATGTGAGGCAGCATGTCCACTCAGCAACCAGAAACAGAAAGAAGAAAAAAGGGTGTAACTTGCTCCACAAGGCTTTTGCAGGTTACTGATGTCTCTGAGGAGCAATGGAGTGGTGAGAAAATAGAGGAAAGAAAGGCAAGTATTAAAAATTCAGGAATATGCAAGAATATTAGTGAAAAACCCAGCCCAATTTCAAGACTTCTGAATAAAAGCTATTCTAACAACATTAAAAACCTCTCACTTTTCAAACTTCCTGAACCAGAAAAGCCAACTTTAGACCACATTCACATGAAGAAGCTATTTTTGCAGCCCATGGTCACACCAGAAAGATCAGGGTTACCTGACAAACACATTTGCTGCATATCCAAAGTCATCCTCTTCAGTCACGCATCATTACCCCAAGTTCATTAACTCGGTAATCTGGTACATTCACGAAGCAAGATGCAAGATTTAACATGATACTTCAAATGGGTTTTGACTTGATTTCAAAAGCTCCTGCTAAAAACTCATGGTCCAAATTCTCTTCACACCATCAAGCTGAATTTGGGAGTGATGCCATTGTGCTTAAAATTATATCGGTGCAAAACTAATAGAAGATCCAGCTCAAGCCTGGAGAGTTTAAACTGCAGAACACCCCCAGAAAAATAGATGTGATACACAAACCTGGCTTCAGCAAAGAAGAAAGTGGAAAAATACCTTACTGACAGTTTCCTAACATGAGAGGGCTCATGTTGAAGCTTGTTTAACCCTGACCATCACCAATTGATACGTTAACAACCTTTAACACTAGATTCAATAAAACATGCCATTTATAACCTGAAATGGGTTTTACAGAGTCACTGGTTCGCATCTCATTATTAAACTCATTGCTGACCTCTAGAGACAACTGCCGTGACAATACATATTATAAGCTCTCCACCCATAAAATATTTAAAGGTAGGTGTAAAAAAGAAAAGAAAAGAAAAGAATGACTCTCAAAGAAGTGAATAAGAAAATTAAAGGGGCAGAGACAAAAGCTAAATAGGTACTATTCTTTCACTCTACAATGAGCAAAAGAGAAAATAATCTGTATGTTTTGTATCTTTCTTGTATAACTGCAGGCTATAAAACAACAAAATAGCTGTGCTTTCCCAGGCCCTCCAAAAGATTATAGATGATATAAAACTGTTTCAAATTAGATGCCACTCACTAGAATCATGTCATCTACTGAAATGAAGGATTTTCCGTCTTATCAGAAAGCTGTTATTGTAGCTATACATCACTTATGGATCTCAAGGTAAGTGATTTCTCAGTATGTCATGTTGTCACACAGAACAACAGGAAACATTTTCTTTTTTTCTTGGAGAAAGCTTTGCTTATGAAAATACAGTATTTATGAATGCACATTTACAATTAATAAAGATGCAAGAATAAGAAAAATAGCCTCAGCAAGTAATTTATTAACTTGAACATCATCCTGTGCTTAGCAGACACAGTACAAGAGAACAACACAGCTCTCAGGCAAATTCTTTCTGAGCATGGGCAGCTTCCCCTGGCAAGCACTGTGCATGGGGATATCAAACCCAGGCTGGAGTATGGGCTGTGATCAACCTCTCCTCATCAATATTACAGAGTTCTACTGAGCACTCTTGTGCAGCAAGTAGGGCATGACCTGCCTTTCCTACAGGCACTCTCTGCCCATTGGTCTCAAAACACACCATGCCACTGTTTTACACTGAGAGCAGGAAAATACCTGTTGCCCAAGGTTGCCAGTGCCTTGTGGCAGTGCTGGCAGCAAATTGGGGGCATCACTGCTGCTTGTGCTGTCACAGAGGCCACCCAAAACCTGGGGCCAAGCACGTCACTGCCTCTCCTTGGGTGCATCCCAAGCAGGGGTGCTGAGGCAGTCCATGGGAATCCAAAAGGCAAAGAAACAATTGTCAAACATGCAACCCTGAAAATCCCCCTGAAATTAATGAGAATCTGGCTGCTGGCTATGTCCAGGGCAGCAGCAGGACAACTCCATGGCTTGGAATTACAATTGAATAGTTACATCTTTGTCCCCCCTCTTTCTCCTGAGTACATCTTGCTGTATGTAAACATAATGCCATTAGAGAAAAAAACACAGCAAAGCAACCCAATGCATCTCAAAGGCATGCAACCTCTCCAGCTTTAGAGCCTCAAAGCCATCTTTTCAACAATAATAACAGTACCTATTTACATTCTTGTCAAAGCCATGTGACATCTGCATGGGAGAAAACAAGCCAGCTAAGAGTCTATTTCTGGCAAAAATATTGCAAGGAAATTAGATTAACCTGGGTGGAATTCTATCTGGGAATTTGGAGTCTGTCGTGGTGATTAAGTCATCATTTCTGTCAGATTACTCTAATCGGCTGTCAAATACGATTCCACAACCCCATCTGTAACTTGGCATCCTCGTTATTCAGTTGATGTTACCTTCTGTATACAAAACAAACAGCAAACAAGGAGGTGTGTGCAGTCTAGCATTTAGCAGAGTCATTAGCTGTGATTACTATTGTGTGGTTGCACATTGCACAAGGCGATCAGCTTGTGGTTTGTTTTGTTTAGTCAGGGGATGCTTCAGGTCAGGTGTAACCTTAAGCCTGAGGTGTCAGGGGTGAATGGGTGAGAACTGTCTCCAGGCGTGGATGAGCATGGGATTGGCACACTACAAGCCACCACTGCATCAACAGCAACTGCTTAAATCACATTTCAGAGTTGTCAATATATTTGCTGGAAAGGCTTTTGGACACCTGCTTTCCATCAATTTTCTGAAGAGAAATGGGCATTCAGATATTCTGGGTAGGCTAAAGACTTCCTCCAAGCAGCAATTTCTGCAAGTGAAGCAAGGTTTGTAGGAGGAGGCAGTTGGCACTCGAAATGGTATGTATTGGCTGCTTTAAGATATTAAACATGAGTATGTTAGTCTTACACAGGACTTCAGTGATTAAAAGCAGGAGATGCCTTTCAGTGAAGATGCAGAAGCTGATGGGCTCATTTTGCTGCAGCTGTGTTGAGTCTGTGAAATTTGGATACCCTCTGAAACTCTGGCCACCTAGACTGAAAAGTCTTTTTTTTTTAAGTTCCATTGCAAAAGCACCTTCAAACATGATTACTACATCTATTAGCAGCTTTTATTGTCCACTCCTGCCACTGTGGATGCACATGCCTTGCTCCAGTCATTCCTTATGCCTTGAGGAAGGAAAACAACTTGGCAAGAAG